GTGCAGGTCGAGCTGGCTGACTGTGTGTCCATGCTGGTCGGGAACAACGAGAGGATTCAGGCGATCGTCAGTCAGCTGGAGGAAACCTGCAGAGCCGTCGACGTGAGTTCACCTTCAGGTGTTTTCGCACCTTTAAGATGATTGGCTCCGCCCACAAACCACTCACCGCGATGGCCTCACTGTGTTGGCAGGAGAACGGTCGGCGACAGAAGTCGAAGGTGTGCGAGACATTCGATCACCTGTTCGCTCTACTAGAAGAGAAGAAGAGCGAGATGACGGTGAAGATCAACGCCGAGCAGGAGGAGAAGCTGGACTACATCCGAGGCCTGAGGAGGAAGTACACCGAGCACGTGGACGGCACCGCCAAGCTGCTTGAAACTGCCATCCAGACCATGGATGAGTCTGAGATGGCCCTGTTTCTGCAGGTGAACCTGAACGCACCACGTCCTGTGCAGCACTTTATGTTAGCGGCTAAAACCTTAGCATCAGGCTGCCATCTTTAAACACGCATGTACACAAGTTCATTGTTCATTGATGTAGTTTATGGTAGTTCAATAAGGAGAGATCACTGGAAGACCTGGGCGTGGCTTATGGAGAAATGGGGTTATTTGTTGTTGGGCTTTGAATCCCGGAGTCTCCACACTGGTTGGCTCAAAGAAGGCGAGCGAGAAGAAGATTGGACAACAGTGATGATGTCAGCATTGAGACTGACAGCGTGGGCGAGGTAGTGAAGGCAGAAGGGTGATTACAGATCCTCCTTATTGAACTTTCACATAAGCTTCATGTCATTATGTTCTCCTACACAAACATTTTAGGATGCCTCAATGTGTTAGCATATGTTGTTAGCATAGGGTGATAGCATATGCTGTTAGCATATGCTGTTAGCATATGCTGTTAGCATATGCTGTTAGCATAGGGTGATAGCATAGGGTGTTAGCATATGCTGTTAGCATAGGGTGTTAGCATATGCTGTTAGCATAGGGTGATAGCATAGGGTGTTAGCATATGCTGTTAGCATA